CAAAGAAACAAGATAGCATCCCAAATATTTTGCTTGCCACCTTTTTTTTTTTTTATCACCTTTATTGACTTTAGGATTCATAGAAAAATAATGTCCAGTCAGATTTCACGTTACTCATTTCTGGTCATATCTCTTTGGGATTCTTTTCACTTCTAAGATATGTCCCTTTGACTAAGTCACACATGTGGACAAGTCTATAAGACAGAGCCATTCAGAGCAGGAACTCGGCTTTCATAGCCTGATCACAGTAGTCATCATGGAATGGACCAAATCAGAAAATGAACAATAATTAACTTCAAATTCTGTATTAGAGAAAATGTTAACATATTAACATGGCTAACCAGATTCAGAAAAAGGAGGCTTTTAAGTTTTCAATTCTAAAATCGAAAATAATTTGGAGCTTTTTTTCTTTTTGGACAGTTGTAGGACTTGAACTCGGGCATTGTTCCTGAGCCTCTTTGTGTTCAAGGATAGCGCTCTACCACTTGAACCACAGTGCCACTTCTAATTTTTGAGTAGTTAATTGGAGATAAGAGTCTCACGGGGACTTTTCTGCCTCAGCTGGCTTGGAACCTCTATCATCAGATAGCAGCTTCCTGAGTAGCTAGGACTACAGGCGGAGCTACCAGTGCCCAGGTGGAGCATTTTTTTTTTAAATAATTAAAACTAATCAGAATTTACATCTCATTGAAACCTTTTCTGTTCTGGAAGAAGAGGTAAAAATAGAAGAAAGAAGTACATCTCTGTTACTATAGGTTTCTTGCTTAGCAAATACTGTATGAGGAAATTTTATCAAATATTCACTTTAGCCTGGGAATGCATCTTAAAACAGTGTTTGCCACATTTTAAAGAAATAGCATTTCTGGGCTGGGAAGGTGGCTTAGTAGTAGAGCGCTTGCCTTGCATGCAGGAGGCCCTGGGTTCGATTCCTCAGCACCACATAAGCAGGGGAAAAAAATCTGGAAGTGGTGCTGTAGCTCAAGTGGTAGAGTGCTAGCCTTGAGCTGAAGAGCTGAGGGACAGCGCCCAGACCCAGAATTCAGGCCCATGACTGGACCCCCCCCCCAAAAAAAAGAAATAGCATTTTCTATCACAAAAAGAAGAAAATAAGAAAAATTACATCATTCTGCGTCAGCCCTCCTGTACTTGCTGTATCCTAGAAGTATGTTTTCTCGTCTTATTTTTTTCTTTTTTTCACATCTTATTAAGTGTCCTTTAGAGACTGGAATTGTGTTTGGACGTGAGTTCCTCCAACTCATTCACTGTAGCGCTATTGAGCACCTCTGCCTCGTGTTCCTTGTACTCCTAATGCATGCTCCTAACGGTCCTCCTACACCTGCCCTGCATACATTCATTCTGTCCCTCCCATAGTTAAAGTACTGCATTTGAAGTGAAACCAAAATCAGGCTGAAAGGACTCTATATGTTCTAGCTTCTTCTGCTTCTCTAGCTTTGAAAAGACTTCAGTTCTTCAGGATTAGTCTTAACCAATGTGGCACAGTACAATTGAAATAACAGTGACTTTAACACAACGGGAGTTTAGTTCTCTCTTGTGTAAGTAGGTAAACTGGTACTTTCTTCTTGATGCTTCACCATCATGATCACTTCCAGCTCATGGTCTGAAATGGCAGCTCCAGTATTCTGGCAAGGAGGAAACGAGAAAGAGGAAGAAAAAGCAAGTCCCTTCTCTTCAAGGACACTTCCAAAGTTGTCCTTGTTATTCTGTATGTATCCCTTGGTAAGAGCATAGGCATAGGCTATAATACAGATTCTTCTGCCCTGTGCTCAGCCAAAAGCCCCAGCATTGTTGCTGAGGGAAAACTAGCTGGAAGTCCCTATCACAGGAGCCAAGTCATGCCAGAGTAGAATGTGAATCAGAAATGTCTGACATAGAAAAGTCAGCAAATAACGCATAAGCATTTCCCTAGACACATAGAGGCAAGTAAGGGGAAGGGAGCGAAGTCATGGAACACAGCTACTGTTTTCCATGTAGAGCATAAGTGATACAAATTACATATCAGGGCATTTTAGTGGCTGGTGGAGGCTGCTGACCTGTGATCTTGGTTCTTGGTTCCTCCCTTAACAGCTATCTTTAAGCCTTTGCTTCTTAGGCAAAGGTGATGTTTTAGGTATGAAGATTGTCAAGAGCTAGATGACCATAGGATCAAGGACAGGACATTTGGCCACAGGCAGTTTCTCGTTTTTTCCTAGTATTGAATTAGTGTTGCTAGGGCATGAAAGTCTTACTATCCTTGCCTGGTCTGTGCTGTGTGTATGTCCAAGCATCCGTCTCCTTCTCGCCCACAGTGCTGTGGCAGGAAGGTACATCTGGTGAGCTGCAGCCCGCAGAAGGCCCCTTAGATAGAATATAATCAACCCAAGCTCAGAATGCAAGGACCCAGAGAAATGGAACCTATTCATCTGGAATCCTGGGAAGTTTTCTGCTGTCAAAGAGGAAAAAATAAAAAGCACAGCGAAATATTGTGAGACTTCAGAATGATTACATTTGTTCATAGGAAATACATCAAATCTTTGCATTGTTAGTCTTAATAAGTTTTGTTATTAAATATTTACCCCAAGAAGAATTTATTTTTATCTTGAGCAATGAAAGTCTAAGGAGGAAAATAGCGGGCTTGTATCTAATCACTTTTTATTTTCTCAGATCTCGGTCATGTCATTATCTCGGTGCTTACATAACTTAATGAGTGGAGTTCAAGCAGTACTGGGAATAGGAGGGAAAAATGAAGGGTAACAATTTAAATGGATAGCCAGCAAATGTGTGATATGGATGGAGATGAAGCCTATTAAGGACCCAATTCTGAAAGAAGCTCTTGACATTGATCATTTGTGAAAAGGAGATTTTTTTTTCCTTTGCCACATATGTGATTCTGTACACTTGTCTAGAAACCTTAAGCATCAGGCACATCTGATCCTCAGCTTATGGAATTACTAACACCCAGCCACTTTGAAAAAGCAGACAAGGTTATTAACTTTGGCAGGAAATGAAAATTTGGCTTTAATATACACGTGAAATTGAATTGTCTGTAGCACAAAGCTTTGGAGATTACCATGCAAAATGAGAAAACTATCTAAATTTAAAATTGTCCTCAGTACAGTGAAAAGTAATTTTTGCAGACTGCATTTTTACTGCATTGAAATCCATGAAGAGATTGGCTCTATTAATTTAGATTTAAACAGAGGCTCTGTGTCTTCTAAAAATGGTAAATGAGATGGAAAATGTACTTGAAGAGGAAAAAAGGGTTTCGGAAATGCTGCAGGCAGCAGACTCCCTTCCCACATCCTTGAAGCTGGGACAGTCGTTGGCTTGGGAGAGAAGGTTCTCCACTGTGACAGGCATTCGCAGGGAGGACAGACAATACCTCAGTCACACAGTGCAGGCTTCAGGAGGACAGAAGCAAATCCAGTGAAAAGCACAGCAGAAGTTCACTGACAATTTTTACATTACAGATACCCAAGTGGTTGGATCTTTGAAACTAAAGACAAATCAAATATATTTTCTGAGATGTCAAATAACTTATTTATAATCCCGGTCTAGAAGGATAAGAGGGTATGGAATTTGGTTACACAAACACCTCCTCACACACACAAAAATGTTACCTTAGCTGGGAGCCAGTGGCTCAGGCCTGTAATCCTAGCTACTCAAGGGGCTGAGATCTGAGGATCGAGGTTCAAAGCCAGCCTAGGCAGGAAAGTCTGTGAGACTCATCTCCAATTAACCACCATAAAACCAGAAGTGGTGCTGTGGCTCAAGAAGTAGCAGCGCTCAGGCCCAGAGTTCAAGCCCCACAACCAAAAAGAGAACAAAAAACAAAAACAAACAAAAAAAAACCTTTTGTTACGATAAGGAGAAGCAGTGTTTCTCATTCCCTAATCTGCATTTAGTCACAAAGATAAAACATTTCTTATTTATGATTAAATAGGTGTTTTATTAAATGGCTGACTGTTTATTTGGACCTGATACTTTAAATAACCATCAAGAAAAGTATGTTGGACCGGGGATGAGACTCAGTGATAAAAGTGCTTGCCTAGGAGCACCAACAATGCAACAATGCAAAGCCTATAATCTTAGCCATTCAGGAGACTGAGATCTGAGGACTGAGGTTTTAAGCCCAGACAAAAAGTCTGTGATATTCTAATCTCTTTCTTTCCTCTTTTTTTTTTTTTTTTTGTCAGTCATGGGGCTTGAACTCTAAGCCTAAGTGCTGTCCCTCAGCTCTTCAGCTGAAGGCTAGCGCTCTACTACTTGAGCCACTAAGCCACTTCCAGTTTTCTTAGTGGTTTATTGGAGATGAGAGTCTCACAGACTTTCCTGCCCTGGGCTGGCTTTGAACCTGATCCTCAGATCTTAGCCTCCAGAATAGCTAGGATTTCAGGCGTGAGCCACCATTACCCGGCTCCCTGAGCTTCTTTTGCTCAAGACTAGAACTCTACCACTTGAGCTACAATACCACTTCCAGCTTTTTCTATGTATGTGGTACGGAGAAGTTGTACCCACAGCTTCATGCATGCTAGGCAAGCACTCTACTACTAAGCCACATTCCCAGCCCTCTAATCTCTAATTAACCACCAAAAAGATGAAAGAGATGCTATCGCAAGTGGTAAATCCTCAGCCTTGAACAGAAAAATCATTGTACAGAGTCTAGGCCCTGAGTTCAAGCCCCAGAAACAGCACCAAGAAAAAAAAATTACATAGACACAATAGCCAAGTGTGGGCGGAGTGGGAGGGGAAGATAACTAAAAATGGGCCAAAGTCTCAGACCCCTTATTATTTAATAGCATTATAGTTATGAGGAAACTGAGTAAACAGGTAAGTGATTACCTATGCCTTGTTTTTAGAGCTGCTTAACCACAACTGAGCCTAGCTAGTCACTGGAACTTCCACATTTATGCATTTGGATAAATGCTGAGGAGGTTTATTACCAGAGTAATAAATCCAGCTATCCTTTCTCTATTTAACATTGCTTTCCTTTTGCTTCCTAGGGATTGCGCTGCTTTACTTACATCTCTATGAGGTGTTCGGGGACCCTGCCTACCTGCAGATGGCTCATGGCCACGTCAAGCAAAGCCTAAACTGTCTGAGCAAGCGCTCCATCACCTTCCTGTGTGGGGACGCGGGGCCCCTGGCCGTGGCTGCTGTGCTCTATCACAAGATGAACAGCGACAAGCAGGCAGAGGACTGCATCACACGGTATTCTTGTTTCTTCATCAGGGTTATTTCCTCGCTGTCATTCTGCTTGCTGCATATATTAGCAAAAGAACATTCTAGTCAGTTTACTTTTCTCTCAGCAGACAAATCTTACGCATTTTATCAGTTCTCATTCCTGTGTTACAGTTAAGGAACAACCATCATAATCCCTATTTTATTAGAAGCTATGAGACACTATTCTGTTTGAGGTTAAGCATTAGTTCAGTAACAAGCAAGATCAAACACCTAATCACGTGGTCATTAATCCATAGGGCTCCTTAGAATCAGAATCAGAGTGAATGCAATTCCCTTGCCATGGGGCAGCTGGGGGAGGCCTCAGCACACTGAGAGAGACCGCAAACCCATTCAACACTGCCTTTCTTAGCCTGGCGTACACTGTCCACCAGACCGCATAAATTGAGGAATGACTACACATGTGTGCACATAAACTACATAGATGTCTTTTCTAGTTTGTCGTGCCTTCTTGCGAATTATAGCTAGAAGTGTAGTTGTCATGCAGCTCGACAGACCGGATGCAGATCTAGCTTTGCTCCCACTGATCACCTTAGCTCTGAAAAGTAGATGGGCAACTCCAGAACATTCCAGTGGTGACTCTGAGTGTACATGCTTTCTGATGCTCATTGTCTTCCTTATAATTGACTGCTAGAAGAGCACTATCATTACAGATGGAGTGTGTTGAGGATGCTACTTGGTTAGTCTTAAGCAACTTGCCTTCTCTATTTATGGGTTCACACCCACAGATTTAGCCAAACATGGATCCAACATTAGAAAACCCTGTATTGGTACTGGAACTTGTACACACCTCAATATTATTTCCTAAACAATATAACTGTTTATATAACACCTACATGTATTAAGTTTTGTAAATAGTCTAGAGAGAACTTACATGATATGGGGCATTTGCATGTATTATATGCTAATAGGTCATTCTATACGGGGACTCGAGTGTCCACTGGGAAGGCTGACTGCTCTGTGTGGAAGTGTGTATTTTATCACATTTTTAAAGTTATCATGGTTATGGTTTAACCCCAGGTATATATGTATAATCTGCATATGCAAATTATCCCACCTCTCTCAGTTTTTTCCCCATACAATGATAATATTTTCTTTTTATAACTTCTTTTTCGTTTTTTTTTTCTTTTCTTTCCTTTTTTTTTTTTTTTTGTCAGTCCTAGGGCTTGAACTCGGTCTGGGCACTGTCTCTGAGCTTCTTTTGTTCAAAGCTAGCACTCTACCACTTGAGCCACAGTGCCACCTCTGGCTTTTTCTGTTTATGTGGTACTGAGGAACCAAACCCAGGGCTTCATACATGCTAGACAAGCACTCTACCACTGAGCCATATTCTCAGCCCCCCATCTGAGTTTTTAAATTTCATTTTTCAATAATTGGTATTGAATTGGTCTTCAATAATTCTTCTATAAATTTGTAACCCATCAATAGTTTGTATGCCTAACAAAAATTGAGGTTTCAACAATTATTTTTATTTTTTTATTTTTTGGGTCCAGTCATGGGGCCTGAACTCTGGGCCTGGGTGCTGTCCCTCAGCTCTTCAGCTCAAGGCTAGCACTCTACCACTTGAGCCACAGCACCACTTCCAGCTTTTTTCTTTTTGCTTATGTGGTGCTGAGGAATCAAACCCAGGGCCTCAGGCATGCAAGGCAAGCACTCTACCACTGAGCCACCTTCCCAGCCCCTCAACAATTATTTTTATAAAATAGGGAAATAAAAACACAAGATGACTGGGATATTTTAGACTGACCAATTCTGTTTATTGATGTAGTATTTATTTCTTGATCCTGTCTGATCAAGGGGCTTGGGCACTGTCCCTTAGCTTATCTTGCCCAAGGCTAGCACTCTACCACTTGAGCCACAGTTCCGCTTCCAGCTTTTTCTGTTCATGTGGTACTGAGAAGCACTCTACCACTAAGCCACCTTCCAAGCTCTGGAATGTTTTTGGTTTGTTTTCTTTATAATCACAAATTTGAGTTTCAGAATCCAAGGGGGCCTTTGAAGCCATCAAAAGTCCAATAATTAGCCTGTCACCAGAGTCTCACACCTAACGTCATCATACTCAGGAGTCTGCGATCTGAAGATTACAGTTCAAACCAGCTCAGGCAGAAAAGTCTGAGACCTGTATCTCCAGTAAACGACTTAAATAATAATAAGTTTTAAAAAGCCAAAAGTTTAGGTATGGCTCAAGTGGTAGAGTACTAGCCTTGAGCAAAACAAAGCAGAGAAAGTATCCAGGCCCCAAATTCAAGTTCCAGGAGCAGCACACACAAAAATAAAAGTCCAAGCCTTAGAGAAAGACACTGAAATCAAAAAATGAATGTTTCCTTTGGAAGAATTTCTTTCTTTCTTTATTTTTTTTGTTGGTTATGGGGCCTGAACTCTGGGCCTGGGCACTGTCCCTCAGCTCTTCAGCTCAAAGCTACCACTTAAGCCACAGTACCACTTCAAGCTTTTTCCGCTTCTGTGGTCCTTTTTCTGCTTATTTGGTGCCAAGGAATTGAACCCAGGGCCTCTTGCATGCAAGGCAAGAACTCTACCACTGAGCCACCTTCCTAGCCCCTGGAAGAGGTTCCTTAACCATGAGCCCCTGAGAATTTTGACTTCTGGACTAGATAACACCCCCAAATTACTTCCAGTGTGGAAATAGCATTTCTGCTTTCCTTGGAGAAGTCTTTGACTCTTGGACTCCCCAAAAGATATGTGTGTGGGGTGTGTGTGTGTGTGTGTGTGTGTGTGTGTGTGTGTGTGTGTGTGTGTGTGTGTGTGTGTGTGTGTGTGTGTGTGTGTGACTGTGTGTGTGTGTGTGTGTGTGTGTGTGTGTAAATAGCATTTCTGCTTTCCTTGGAGAAGTCTTTGACTCTTGGACTCCCCAAAAGATGTGTGTGTGTGTGTGTGTGTGTGTGTGTGTGTGTGTGTGTGTGTGTGCATTTGTATTCAGGGTGTGTGTGTGTGTGTGTGTGTGTGTGCATTTGTATTCAGGTTCTCCTGCAAATGGCCAGGGCATATAGCAGCACATAGCTCTAGATATTTCTACTGCATGATAATACATATCATGTCCCATGCCACTGTTTGCTACACTGTTTTCTACACAGAGGTACATGTGCTACAACACAGATAGAGCATTGCATGTTTTGTACCCAATTAGAGGATCACCTTGACATATACACTGCTTTGGGGCCAATACTTAGAATGACAAGAGAGGTTAAACATTTCTGTTGTGTTTAACCTCTCTCCTTATAGTGCACAGGTCAGACAAGCACTTTTTTTTTTTGGTTGGTTGTGGGGCTTGAACTTGGGGCCTGAGTATTGTACCTGAGCTATTCAGCTCAAGGCTAGTGAGCTACCACTTTGAGCCACAGCGCCACTTCTGGTTTTCTGGCTTTTTGGAGATAAGAGTCTCACTTCTGGAGATAAGAATCTCACTTTTTTTAAGTCTCACTGGCTTTGAACTGCAATCCTCAGATCTCAGCTTCCTGAGCAGCTAGGTTTAGTTGTGAGCCACCAGCACTCAGCAGATAAGCACTTCTTTATCTTTGGTTTTCTAGTATTAAAAACCTTTTGATAGAATACAGAGCAAAAACCTCTCCTAGTCACAAGCACTCTGGGGATAAATATTGCTAAGAATTGGACAGTACTCCCATTTACAATGTCTCTATTCTTCCTCTAGTAGTATTCCAGGGCCTTGTTTAACTCATCTAAAGATTGGTTGCTATTAATATCAACCAATCAAAGCAAATAAACTGAGCTGCAGTGATATACTTGTGGGTTTGAGAACTTTTGAACACACATAAAACAACCATTAGAATGTATCAGTGCTAGCAGTTCTTTATTTTGAAGATGTAGCTTGGAAAAGATTCCATCAGGAGCCCTACCTTTTTTTTGGGGGGGGGGGGGGTCCTGTCTTGAGGCCTGAACTCTGGGCCTGGGCGCTGTCCTTCAGCTCAAGGCGCTCTACCACTTGAGCCACAGCGGCTTTTTTCTTTTTGCTTATGTGGTGCTGAGGAATCGAACCCAGGGCCTCAAGCATGCAAGGCAAGCGCTCTACCACTGAGCCACCTTCCCAGCCTCGTGGAGCCCTACCTTTAATGATCATCAGCTCAATGAATTCTAGCACTAGTTCTTTAAAATGCAGGGGAAAATGGGCTCTTATTAATCTAAAATACTATTGTAGCAAGATCATCACTCTGACCAGTATTTTATTGTTACTACATGGTTTTTTTGGTTGTTTTTTGGTTTTTGGTTTTTCCTGTCATGGGGCCCGAACTCTGGGCCTGGGCACTGTCCCTTAGCTCTTCAGGTCAAGGCTAGCTCTCTACCACTTGAGCTACAGTGCCACTTTCAGCTTTTTCTGCTTATGTGGTGCTGAAGAGTCAAACCCAGGCCCTCATGCATGCAAGGCAAGCACTCTATCACTGAGCTACCTTCCCAGCCCTACTACATGTTTTAATAGTATTTGCCACCCGCTTTGAGCCATCCAAGGCAAATGAGTTTGGTGGCAGAATAATTGGAATGCTAATTTTGTATTGCCACCTAGTGGTATTGTAGCTAATAACATCAGCAAATAAAGGAGCAGCATTTTCTGATAGTGTGGTTCAGACATTTTAGTGTGTAGGAATATCCTTGAAGTTAATACAATAATTGTTCTGAATAATATTTTTATAGTTTATCATTTGCTTAAAAAGAACAGGAATATTCTTTTTTCACTTTCCTTTGCAAAAAAAAATTTTAATATTCAAATTCTATACAAGTTGATATATTTTGTTCTTTTTTTTTTTTTTTTTTTTGGGTCCGGTCGTGGGACCTGAACTCTGGGCCTGGGCGCTGTCCCTCAGCTCAAGGCTAGCGCTCTACCACTTGAGCCACAGCGCCACTTCTGGCTTTTTTCTTTTTGCTTATGTGGTGCTGAGGAATCGAACCCAGGGCCTCATGCACGCAAGGCAAGCACTCTACCACTGAGCTACCTTCCCAGCCCCGGTATATTTGGTTCTTATCTGGACTCAGATCTTGGTTACCCTGCTCTGCCAAGTCCTCTCCATCAGTGAGCCTGCCCCAGCTCAGGTGGTAGAAAGGATAAAGAGGTGAGACAGGAGGACTCACCTCCTCCAGGAAGCCCTTCCCCCTCAGCAGTCCTGTGGGCTCCCGTGGCCTCCACTTCTGCCTGCCTGCACTGTAAGATTGTCCGTGGCCTGGGCATAGAGAACAGAGGAGAGGAAATGAGGCTAACCACCCTCTGTGAGAGTAGGGGATCCCCTTCCTCCTTCCTGCTGTATCCTTCTGCTTTGCTGCTCCTGGCACCCACTGCTAGGTTTTGGGCTGTATTAAATGAAGGAGAATGGAGTACCAGAGAGGAAACTGGTTTTCCTTCCATTCTGCTTGCAAATTGTTCCTTTTCAGAGTCCTCGGATAGCTGATCAGTGTATCATATCCAGGATTGGGTATGCCATTTAGTGGGAAAGGCAGAGTGGAGTGTGCTTACTGTATCTTACTTGAAACCATAACTAAAAATAACTTTGAGATGCTGGACTAAGTCAGTTATAATGCACCCACTTAACAGAATATTACTTTGCAACTTATAAAGAGTGGGAATGTTCTGCATGTGCAGACACAGAATGGTTGTAAAGGAGTACGATTAAATAGCACACTACAGATCATTTGGTGGGAATACATTTGTGTGTGCATGTTTATTCATGCTTAGTTATGCATAAAATTAGAGATATACAAAAAAATTAGTAAGCAGCTTTGTTTTTGAAGGTAAAAACTAGAAAACTGAGAGACTAGAAGACTAGAATGTGGTTATATAGCTACTTCTGCAGAACTCTTTTCTTAAGCAGTAAACTAAGGAAGAAGGAAATGCAGCCGGCATTTTATTTTATGGAAGCAGATGGTGCTTGGAGTGTTGACTTAGTACTTTTCCTGGTTAAATGTCACCCCAGCCTGCAGCTCTATTTAAATTCTCCTCTTAGGGCAAGCCTCTGTGAGGAAGTAGGGAGGTGGTTCAATGAGAGGTAACTACATCCTAGTATTTTTAGATTCCTCTGTCTGCCCATTCTAAACTAAAGAGGTTTAATTGAGGTCTAAGGTCTGTGTAGGTGTCAGTGTAAGTATATTTTTTACCTACCATTTTATTTATTTTAGTGCTGGTCCTGGGATTTGAACTCAGGGTGTGGGCCCTGCCCTTGAGCTTTTATGCTTAAGGCTAGCACTCTAGCATTTGAGCCACAGCTCCACTTACAGCGTTTACAGTCCTCAGATCTCAGCCTCCTGAGTAGCTAGGATTACAGGCATGAGCCACCAGCGTTCAGCTAATCTACCATTTTAAATACCTACCCATGTGTGATCCTTTTCAAATTATCTTAGGCATTGTATTTCTGTTTGTAGGTTAATTCACCTAAATAAGATTGATCCCCATGTTCCAAATGAAATGCTGTATGGACGCATAGGCTACATCTATGCTCTTCTTTTCATCAATAAGAACTTTGGAGAGGAGAAGATTCCTCAAAGTCATATTCAGCAGGTAACAAATTTCTGTGCTTTTTACAAGTCTTCTAGGAATCTCCCTTATTTACTCTGCCTAAAATATTGGCTCTGTCTCACCACTTAGCACATTCCAAGCTGGATGTACAATCAGAGCACCAACAGCTTCACACCGAGTATTGCTAGAAGCCTGTGGGGGGAACTGTCAGGCAAAGGCCTGAGGACAAGAGTTCAGGGGCCCTTTCAGAGGAGGCAGAGCCGGTGTTCCTCATAGGTGTACACATCTCATTTTGGGCCTTAGAGGTGCTTAGACTTTCCCTGGACCTGTGAATTCTTTATTTTTTTTTTTAACAATTGTTGTTATAAAGGTGATACACAGAGAAGCTATAGTTACATAAGTCAGGTAAGGCATGCATTTCTTTTGGACAATGTCACTCCTTCCTTTGCACTCTTCTAGCCTGTGAATTGTTGATTATCTAGTGAAGTGACTTCAAGATCCTCCCTACCCTTCCTCATTGAAGCAGAATACAATCACACTCATTTCTCTGAAACAGAAGTAACACATGCCCTTCCCTGGCCAGAAGACACTGTCTAATTTGCTACCAGTTCTTTGAAAGCTCTTAGAAAAATCCCTTTCTCTGCCAGGAAGATTTTTAATTATCTTGTTATTCTGGTCACCTTTCTCCCTGTAGATTTGTGAAACAATTTTGACCTCCGGGGAAAGTCTCGCTCAAAAGAGAAACTTCACAGCAAAGTCTCCACTGATGTACGAATGGTACCAAGAATATTATGTTGGGGCTGCCCATGGCCTGGCAGGAATTTATTACTACTTGATGCAGGTAAGGAATGAGTTTGGTGTAGCTTATCATGTGTTTTCCTGACACAAGTAAGTTCTTGTGAGGGCGATGGATCCTGAGCCGTTTACTTTTCTTGTCAATCACTATGCCACGCTGCTTGTGATCACTTGATCCACACAAACCAAACAACCAAACTACAGTTTACGTGTGTGTGCGCGCGCGCACACACACACAAACGCACGCTCAAGGCTAGTGATCTACCATTTTAGCCAAAGCTCCATTTCTGGCTTTTTGGTAGTTAATTGGGAATAACAGTCTCATGAATCTTCCTGCCCACACTGGCTTTGAACCTTGATCCAGAGATCTCAGCCTCCTGAGTAACTAGGATTATAGCCCTGAGCCACTGGTGTTTAGTCCTTTGTAAGAGATATAAACATAAAAATCACTGTATTTGAAATGAAACTTGATCTGTAGGTGAACATTATTGCCACCTGTGCACACTCAAGTATTTGGGCCTATAATTTTGTGGGAAGAACCTTTTTGCTCTTTTCAGCAAATGCCTTGGATTAATAAGAACTAATAATATTATTCTAGGGTTTGGAATGTGGCTTAGTGGTAGAGTGCTTACCTACCTTGCATGAAGCTCTGGGATCCATTCTTCAGGGCCACATAAACAGAAAAAGTCGGAAGTGGTACTGTGGCTCAAGTGGTAGAGTGCTAGACTTGAATAAAAAGAAGCTCAGGGACAGTGCCCGGCCCCTGAATTCAAGTCCCAGGGCTGGCAAAAATAATAATATTCTACACTATAAGGGTGCAATTCATCACAAGAGGCGATGAATTTTGTACAAAATCAATAAATATAGTGCCTAAGGTTCACTTAGAGCGAAGCCCAGGGACTAGATAGAGATAGATAGATAGATAGATAGATAGATAGATAGATAGATAGATAGATAGATAGATAGATAGATAGATAGATAGATAGATGTGTATTATATTTGTGTGTGTGTGTGTGTGTGTGTGTGTGTGTGTGTATTCAGCTAAAAGATAGCTGAATGTGCTGTACCAAGTAGTTCTTAGGTTCTGATAATGTTGGAACACATCATATAGACTGAAACCAATAGAATTCACTGCAGGAAATGAGAGAGATTGCCAGAGGAGAACTTTTCACAGAATGCCATTTTCAGGGACTTAACAAGCTCTCCTTAAGGAGAAATTTGCACTTATGAGTAAGAATTATGGCAAAGGAAAATTGAATCTTAATACCTCCTGGTCCTAGTGGTACCCACTGCACCTTCTTAGAGCACAACGTGGCATGAAGAAGTGCTTCATTAATATGTTCGACATGAGTGCTGGCTGGCTGGGTAGCTGGTTGTGATATATGCATTGGTGTCAGACCTGTCCCCTGCCAGAATGAAGCTGAGAACCTCAAGGTTATTATTGCTTTCTAACACAGAGTCACACTTGTAGTGCTGCTGATGATCAGAGGCCAGCTGTTTGTTTTGTTTTATTTTGCCAGTCCGGGGGCTTGAACTCAGGGCCTGGGCACTGTCCTTGGGCTTCTTTTGCTCAAGGCTCACACTCTACCACTTGGGCAACAGCACCACTTCCAGCTTTTTCTGTTTATGTGGTACTGAGGAATGAAACCTAGGGCTTCAGACATGCAAGGCAAGCACTCTACCACTAAACATTCCCAGCCCCAGCTGTTTGTTACATTTTCTTCTCAATTAGAAAGTTCTGGACAGTAATTAGGGTTCCTAACTATTTAAATTTATATTCCTTTTTTCTGGTGCATTACCTTGTGGCTCTTCTTCTTCAGAAGTATGTGTAAATTCTCAAGTGTTGTAGAAAAGGAGAGTCTTCTGAAGCTCAAGATGAGCTCCAGTCATGTATGTCTGTGACTGAATGTCCTTGTGACCTTTTAAATCAGATGATCAGGAGACATCTTCTGTTCTGCTTCTTTCTTTTAGCTGAAATAAGAAATCTGAAAAACAAGGGTTTTTTTAATTCATAGGTTATTGTCTGTTGGAAATGACTTAATTTTTAATAATAAAAACCCATAATAATAGATACCTTTGTATCAACACAAAAATAAGGCAGGCATGGTGATACATCTCTGTAATCCCAGCACTTGAGAGTCTGAAACAAGAGAATCTCAAGTTTAAGGCCAGCCTGCACTTCATAACAAGGCCCTGTCTTAAAAGAAACATAAAATGAAAATAAAATAAGATACAAATAAATTTTAGCTCATGTTGGATAGTTCCTTCAAGTTTATTCACTGAAAGTGAGTGTGGACACTGTCCTTTATGCACAGTACAGTCAATCGCTGTGTCCTCTCAAGGACACGGTGCCCTTTCAGCCCCATCACATTCCAGTACCACCTTCTCCCACTGTTTCATCCCCCCCCCCCCCCAAGCTCCATGCTCCTCTTAACAGAACATCACTCCCTCCCTACTCCTGCACAGTCCTACCTGACAGAGACCGCTGCCCTCCACCTTCCCACAGTCCCATGCTCTGCCTGGAAGAACAGCACTCTGGATGTATTGAATGTGTTGTTTACAGAGTGACCAGTGCATTGAGTTAAGGACAGACAGAACCAAAAAAGAGAAACTAAGAACTGTAGGAAGGTGGGAGGCTCATATGCCCTGTGTCAGTGTATCCTGTGAGTCTGTTCACTATTGTCTGAGGATAATCCATGCACAGCTCCATTCTGAGTCTTCTGCAGAGCTGATGTCATTGGACATCAGAGTCAGAATTGTGAGACTCTCTTTCTATGGAGAACATGCCCTGCCACTTCTTGTATGTGGGAGGGGCAGGCGGGGGGAGTTGGCTGGCTGGCTTTGAACTGTGATCTTCAGATCTCAGCCTCCTGAAGAGCTAGGATCACAGGTGTGAGCCCCCGGAACCCAGCCCCTGAGATATTTTTGTGTTCTAGGCTATCACTCTACCACTTGAGCCACAGTTTCACTTCTGGCTTTTTTTGGTAGTTTTCATTGGAGACAAGAGTCTCAGACTTTCCTTCATGGACTGGCTTCCAATCGCAATCCACAGATCTCAGCCTCTGAGTAGCTAGGATTACAGGAGTAAACCACCAGTACCCTGGCTCTTCGTAGTTTTTAAAGCATGCTTCAGGTTCTGAAAGTTTAAGAAACTCCTCACAGACTCACACTCAAGTTTTAATATGGAAACGTTATTTGTGTGTCTATAAGTGACGACAAATATATAGAGGCAATGCATACAGTTGTCCATAATAGTTAACTAGTAGCCCAATTTGAGTTACTTTAAAAGCATAAAATGAAGTCACAGAGGAGTAAATAAAACAAAGAAGTCCATTAAGTGAAAAGATGTGGGGGCTGGGAAGGTGGCTCAGTGGTAGGGCACTTGCCTTGCATACCTGAGGCCCTGGGTTTGATTCCTCAGCACTACATAACCAAAAAGAAAAAAGCCAGAAGTGGTGCTGTGGCTCAAGTGGTAGAGCGCTAGCCTTGAGCTGAAGAGCTGAGGGACAGCGCCCAGGCCCAGAGTTCAGGCCCCACGACTGGACCCAAAAAAAAAAAAAAAAAAAAGTGAAAAGATGTGGTAAAATCCAAAGCCTTTTAACGGCTCTAATTCCTTTGGTGTGGTTTGTTTCTGTTTATTTGTCTATCTGTTTCTAATTTAAAACTTAACAGTCTTGGGAAGGTCTTGTTTGCTTTAGCAGAAACTCTGCATCTCATTCTTAGCCCAGCCTTCAAGTGAACCATGGGAAGTTATATGGTCTAGTCAAGCCCAGCGTGGACTTCGTTTGCCAGCTGAAATTCCCTTCAGGCAACTACCCGCCCTGTGTGGATGATAACCGGGATCTGCTGGTGCACTGGTGCCACGGCGCCCCCGGCGTCATCTACATGCTCATCCAGGCCTACAAGGTAGCGTGGGTTCTCTCCAGATTTCATAATGGAAAATTAGTCCGTAGAGGGGTGAACTTATTTATCACTTATTAGAGCCAAGATAACTTCACTAAGTGGATTAGAAGTTGTCCTCACAGTACCTATTTTATTATAGCACACACTAGTTCATAGAACAAGATACTGCTCCCCACTGGTGGAGGATCAAAATTATCAAGGCAAAACAAAAATAAATATCCTACAGCTCAGTTAAAAACATAGCTCTCACGCATTGCTGATGGAAATGTGAAATGGTAAAGCTGCCATGCAGAATAATCTTATAGGTCCTCAAAAACAGTAAACATTTAATTAATATGTAATCCATTAATTCAACTTAGAGGTATCTACCCAAAAAAAAAAACTAAAAGCAAAAATTTAAAGGGGCCGGGTGCAATGGCTCATACCTGCTATTAGTGTTTCAAGACACTAACCTGGACAAAGAATTAAAGAAACTGTATCACAAATAACAAATTGAGCATCATACATACTTGTAATCCCAACTGTGCTGAGGCGGAAAGAAGAGGATTGTAGTCCAAGGCCACCCAAGGCAAAAGCACAAGATCTTTCCTGAAAATAGCTAAAGCAAAAAGCACTATGGGTATGCGGTCACAGGTTGAGGCCCCAATTTCATACTCCAATACCACCAAAAACAAAAAAATCAAAGATACATGTACATCAATGTTCATAACATCTTTCAGTAAGCCAAAAGTAGAACTTATCCAAGTATTCATCAGTAGATGAATGGATTACAAAACTATGATTTATACATGCAGTGAATATTATTTTGTCATAAAAAGAATTGAATTCCAATATATACTGAAGTATTTATTAATCTTGAAAGCATGCTAAGCAAAATAAACCAGACACAGAAGGGTATGATACGATTCAGCTTGTATGAATCTATATTTGACAGGAGGTTGTCTAGAATAGGAAGATGGGGAATAGGGATGTATCACTTGATGGATATGGGGTTTCTATTTGGAATGACAAACAGGCTTTTCAAATCAATAGTGATGCTGTTTTACAGCATTTTGTGTGTAAAACCAGTAAACTATGTGCTTAAAATTGTTCAAATTGTAGCTTCTATAATAATGTATATCTTATTGCAATAAAAAATACAAATGTCACTCTTACATTGCTCACTATAGCAAACCTGCAATCAAGGAAGAAAAGATTCTTAATTGAAAAAAATAGAAGTAAATCAAGATATTTATGATCTTTGGTACCATGTCCATAAATTACAAATATACAGACTATAAGCAGACAATTGTATCACATAACTAAGTGTGTTTTATTGCATCAAATTTCATGTTTCAGGAATTTGGGTAGAATATAAAAAAAAAAAAAATCATTGGTGATGCTGGTTTTTAAACTCTTGTGCTTCCTAGGCAGGAGATCTGCCATTTGAGCCATGACTCTTTGGTTACTGTTCATATAGATCATCACTCTTTGCCCAGGCTACCTGGGCCTCATTCCTCCTGTTTATGCTTCCTGCATAGCTGAGATGTAGGCATGCACCACCACCCTCAGCTTTTTACTGGAGTCTTAAGAACTTTTTACCCAGTCTGTCTTCCATAATCCTCTCTTATCTACGCCTCCCAAGTAGCTAGATTACAAGCATAATCCACCACACTTGGCTTAATAGAAGTAACAACTTTTAGTCTATCTTTATGGACATTCAGTTTGCAATGAGATATCTACTCAGAACTTGGGCACTGGTAGCTCATGCCATAATCTTACCTGCTGAGGAGGTTGAGATCATGATTTGAAGCCAGCTTGGGCTGACAGATCTAAGAGACCCTTATCTCCAATTAAACAGCAAAAAGCCAGAAGTAGAGGTATGGCTCATCTTGTAGAGCAGCAGCCTTGAGAGAAAAACCTCGATGAGAGCTCAAGCCCCACATACCAGGCACATAAAAGAAAATTATCTACTGAAAATATTTGTGAGCCTTTGAGTAAGATATAAGAAGCAGCAAAAGATTTCGTTAGTTGAATAGTGACACTTCTTCAGTAAAACACATGTACACAAACATACACATGATTATGACGGTAGTGCTAGTCAGTCTAGCCATTTGTCACTACTAGTATAATACAGCTGTCTGCCACTAAATGCCTTACCTTCTCTTGCCAAACTCTACTTCCTTTCCCCCCTCTCTCCTTGTCTACAGAACAGGAAGCATTGTAATAGAGCTTTCTTTTTTGCAGGGGGGGGGAGAGGGGGGTCCAGTCATGGGGCCTGTACTCTGGGCCTGGGCGCTGTCCCTCAGCTCTTCAGCTCAAGGCTAGCACTCTACCACTTGAGCCACAGCGCCACTTCCAGCTTTTTTCTTTTTTGCTTATGTGGTGCTGAGGAATCGAACCCAGGGCCTCATGCATGCAAGGCAAGCTCTCTACCACTGAGCTACCTTCCCAGCCCAGTAATAGAGCTCTCTTATGTACCCTGAATAATGAAGGTCATGTTCTTTGAGTCTGCAGGTGTTCAAAGAGGAGCAGTACCTCTCTTATGCCTACCAGTGTGCTGATGTGATCTGGCAGTATGGGCTGCTGAAGAAGGGATATGGGCTGTGCCATGGAGCTGCTGGAAATGCCTATGCCTTCCTGGCACTATACAACCTCACACAGGATATGAAGTACCTGTACCGGGCCTGCAAGGTAGGCGTCAGAATTCCCCCAGAAAAATAGCTCCTCCAGGAAAGGGCACTAGTTCATCTGATACAATTAACTTAGTTGGAAACCATGAGTCTCCACATAAATACACACACACACACACACACACACTATACACTTTTTTTTTTCCTGCCTAGGGCTTGAACTCTGGGCTTGAGCACTATCCCTGAGCTCCATTTTTGCTTAGTGATTCTGCACTAACACTTGAGCCACAGTGCTCCTGGCTTTTTCTGTGATTAATTGGAAGTAAGAGTCTTATAGACTTTCCTGCCCAACCTGGCTTCAAACTGCAATCCTCAGATCTCAGCCTCCACCGGCGCCCAGCAAAACAAATCCTTGTAGGGCTATTCAGGTGAGTTAGATTCTCTTAAAGGGCATAATTTTACTGAAAAGCATTTACAGTAGAGAAAAAAAGGATGCTGGAGGGTTTGTTCTTTTCTTTCTTTTTTTTTTTTTTGGTCAGTCATGGGGCTTGAATCTGGGCCTGTGCACTAGTTAGTCCCTGAGCTCTTTAGCTCAAGGCTAGCGCTCTACCACTTGAGCCACAGCGCCACTTCTGGTTTTCTGGTGCTTCATTGGAGACAAGAGTCTCATGGACTTTCCTGCCCAGGCTGTCTTTGAACCATGATCCTCAGATCTTGCCTCCTGAGTAGCTAGGATTACAGGCGTGGGCCCCGGCACCCAGCTTCTTTCTTCTTTGAGAACCTTGGAAATACGTGGCTGAGACCCCACTCACTTCCTCTCACTCTGTGTACTCTATCTCTGACCATTTATTTCTCAGTACTGAACATGTGTCTTTGGCTTGCTAGTTCTCAGAGTAACATATAGGACAATCTTCACCAGCTTCTAGGAAGAAATCACTGCAGTAGTTTAACGTGGCTCTCGTTTTCAGTTTGCTGAGTGGTGCTTAGATTATGGAGAACATGGATGCAGGACCCCGGACACCCCCTTCTCGCTCTTTGAAGGTATTTTTCACATTCCTTATTGCTTTCTAATGTAAAGAGCTACTTCTCTGCTTAGTAATTCGTGTTTTTGAGTTTGAGTTGTATCAACAATCTAATTTTATACTCAACTCTTGCGACTATTTTATACTATGTGACATGAACATTAAAAATCAGCACAGGTACTCCCACAGACGTAATCCTAGTGGTTGTAAGGGTGATTACCATATATGGAGCCGGGTGTAACTCACCTCAGCAAAAAGCGTGCAGACATTACTTTCTTCTGTTCCAGAGGAGCCTGAATCACACAGTGCCCTGGGGAAGGAACTCACCTGAGGAAAATGACAGGGCAGTGACAGGAACTTGCTGCTGTCCTTTCCCTAGATAAAAAGGCTGATCCCTTCACCAGGAAGCCCTGTGTATGGAACTGTAGTGTGCAGATACAAGCAGATCCTCATTTTCTTTAAATCTGTGCCGTTAATATCAAATGTTCTCCATGCTGCTCTATAAAATGGAGTCATTTGGTGTAATAACTTCATTTTCTTCCTTTAGGAATGGCTGGAACAATATACTTCCTGGCCGACCTGCTAGTTCCTATGAAAGCCAAATTCCCTGCGTTTGAACTGTAAAAGGAGAGCAGCTATCGTGGCCTGAAGCCTGACCCTCCTGCGCACTCACATCTGGGCTGTGTGCTTCTGTTGCTTTTCAAGGAAATACAGAATCTAGCTGTGTATCTGAGTTAGTTGTTTCTTTTCAGAATTGTCATTGCTTTGACTATACTTTTATTCAAGAGTAGGCAAGAAAATCTTCTTAGATTTTCCCAAAAGGATGAATAATAAGTATTATTTACATGTATTTTAGGACTTGGAGGAAATCTTATTCTTATTTAAATTTATGAACATAGCTATAACTAGTTTATACCACATATAAATCAGCAGAGGCAAATATATGGCTGCTGCTAAATATCGCCCTCTACCTCTTCTGTTTCATACTTTAACCCCAACAAGGGTGAGTTTTAGGATTTGCTTTTCTTTGAATGGTTGATTATGGAAGGGGACAAAATATAGATTAGAGGCTTCTAGGAGAAAAGACACAAGAGCTGCAAACTAGACTTGGAAACTAGGCACCACTTTTCAAATTTCTGCTGCCTGTTTGCTCTAGAGATAAAATAAATGCGCTGTAAAATGTGCTTCTGGTTTGACACTAAGGCATCTGGGACTGCATGCCAGTGTTTATAACAAAAACTTTTCAAGTGTGATGGCTGCCACATATTTGTTTATTTGAAACTTAGTTGAAAATAAGTTATCAGAAATACTTTTAGTGTTTTTTCTTCAAGTTCAGTGTTCCTTGGAAGTATTATTTATTTTGATTAATTTATTTGCTTTTTGGTATCCGAATAGGATCAGGAAGCACATTTACTGTGTGCATATGCTGTAGTGTAGGATTCCAGTCCACCCTATGCCACTGACCTTCTAAGTCTTGACTTTTTTACTTACATGGCAGTGACTATAATCTAATATTTGCTGTCCAGCACAAGCTGAGAGATCAGTTCCTTCCCATCAATTTCTTTTCACATTGGGATTTCCACTAAGTAGTTCAGCCTTCCACTTCTGCCTTACAAGCAGAGCAAAGAAAAAGGAATCCCAGATAGCCAGTCACTAGAGAAAGAACAGAAAGATAGAAATTTTACTTATTAGGAAGCATCATCCAGAGAACAATCTTTCCTATAAACAGAAGTATCTTTGCATATTCTAGTCTTAACAGTTCATCAGTTTCTGAGGCGACAACATCTGATTTTATATGGTAGGATTCCTTGATGCTTCAGATTCTGTACAAATCTATTTCTCTTCCTCTCCTTCATCCTCTCCCTTTTCCCTACCCATTGCTGCCTTTCCCAGGTTTCTCTTCTTGACTGATTTTGGAAGATTTCAAAACTATAAAACAACAGGGTCTAAGAATATTAAATGTGCCTATTTCGTGGCTTTCTTGGTCACAAAAAAAATTGATATTTTTATTGGAACTTTAAACCAAGTCCTCACAGAGTGTATGCTGGCTCCTATGGGTAGCAGTCTCTTATTATTTTCAGTTTAGCCCCCAAATAGCTAACATTACTGGAATGTGTTTGATCCTTTAAAGGCTACAAACAGTAGGATCTAAAAAGTAACCCATTGCTCAGTTCTGAGATGAGATTTCTCTCTAGTTTCTGTAGTACTGTTGGTGAGCTGTGTACAGCTGTGCCTTTCTTGGGTGAGTTTCTATCAGTGGTATTGACAGTAATAAAACATTGCACAACAAAGTTCATTTGCCTTTGTCCAGGTGTCCACTTTGAGGGAATAAAGCTCATTTGGTTTAATTGAATGATTAAACATCTTATATTGTGCCTGTACTTTTAGCTACTAGAGTTATGTTCACCAGGGGAAAAGAACAAAATCAGCCTCCTTCTGCAAGCCAGAGCAGCCCTGAACATGGTGCTTCTTGAGCATTTTGATGAAGAACTCAAAACAGGGAAAAGAATATTCTGAGTAATATTCTTGTTAATATTTGGATTGCAGTTAAGCTATTGTCATCCATTAACAAATTCATTCTCAAATATAAGAGAAGTTTCTACCTATCTTTTCCATACTTGAGCTTTTTAAGACTTATTAGGCTGGCAGGGTCTTTGTACCATTGTTTCTTATACTAAAGAGCTAAGACAATGTTGATAGGATTTTAAACCAGGTACAAAGCCAACACCAATACCTATCACCACGGTAGCAACTAAAAGTAAGTTCCACTAGCTTTCTTAGTTTCAGAAGGAAGCAAAGTTCTTATTCTAGTTCAATTCAAGTATTTTTCTTCTTGCTCATAAACTTTCCCCAGAGTGGCCTCCCAAAAACTCAGTAACCTTGCTTATCGCTATGCAAAGACTAGGTGGTGAAGCTCTTAAGCGTGTCAAGCAGAATTATTATTAACCCTGCTTGTGGTGAGAAATTTCGGTGGTTAACTCTTCAGTTCCCACGGGGCTTTAGTTTCATCTGAGCTGTCAGCGATTAATCCTTGTCTCATCTAATCCTTAACTCCCTTTTCCTCTTGTGTCACTTCCAATACTTGGTATCACAAGCCTCCCGCATAGATAGTTCCAGGTAAAAGGGGATCTAAGAATATATTCTCCTTATTCCCACTCCCCTCAATAACAGAACTGAGAACCTGTGTTCTCAGGTCAGTTTATGTGCAGTGTTTGGATGCCCTGCCTTCTGTCAGCTGATTTTGAAATGGAAGCCATGGACAGTGAACATTTACTTACACACTCCTTTGGATACTAGAATTTACCCGTGGTTGCTAATTACTTGCACTGAATCTTGATTCTGTTTCTGCCTCCCCTAAACAGAGCAGAACACATTCCTGTATGTTCTGTCCTTCTGAGCCAGAGCAACGTTTCTCCTGTAGATATACAGTGCATTTGGGTTATTCAGAGGAAACCTCCTCCCGGCCCCCGCCCGCACACAGTGTTACGTTATCATTTACCAGAAGGACTGTTATCGTATGCATTTATACGTTGTGTAAAGGATCTGACTTACCAGTTCTCAATAAAACTTTGTCAGGATTACAAATTGCTGCTTGCTGTTGTTTGTTTTAGTTTAAACCTGAGAAAATATTTTTCTCTTCAGTAGTAAATGATGTCTTTTTCTCTGTGCATTCGGTCCCTGGAGTCTGTTCCTAACTTTTTCCTTTATTAAAACAACCATGATTTCCACTGTTTTCTAAAAATAGAGATTTATAAGAGGAAAGTACTTTTTAATCTGTTTCTCATAGAAATAATAAGAATCTGCATGGGTCTTATTCATCTCATTCATATGTGAGTCCACCCTGTGGTCAGTCACGAAAGGCCTCCTGGAAATTCATTTCCCTGACCAAGGCTGAAAGGAGCTTTGCATAGAGAAGGAGATCAAATAAGATGTAATTATAAAATGCACATGCAGTAGCGGGAAGGGGTGCTGCTTTGTCACCCCAGTGACTTGTACGCTGGTACATAGCCAGTAAGGGACACTTCACACAACAAGACTTTGCCAAATAACAAAGTACTCATTTTCATCTCTAAATTACATATTGTCCTCTGCACTTATGATTACAATGCCCTTAACTCTATTGCTCAAATGATTCATAATACTGAGGATGAACTCAATTCTTGAATGAAGTAAAGATGTGGTGATGTTAGATCTTTAATGCCGCCAACAGGACAGGGGCAGCCAGTGCCTTACAGAAATCAGTGTCTCACAGACCCACAATGCTGCTTGCAGAATTCCCACCAACACTGTTAAAGTACATTTCCACTAGCAAGGCCAGCTCACCCTGTTCTCTGTTTTACTTCTTCCTATCAGAAGAAATACAGGGAAAGCACATAATATGCCATAATTGTAATTGCATCAACAAAAGTGATTTGTCTCTACTGACAAGATCTTGGTCGCCTTCCTTCTCCTCATACTCTGTTTAGAAGAGGGTAATAATTTTATGATAGCTCTTTTCCAGGAGATAGCTACCAGTATGGCTTCATAGTTAGTAGAATCTTCTGTATTCCTTAGTCTTACAGCTTTTGCTTTAATTATGAAAGCCCTGGACATTGGTCTCTGGAAGTTTGCTTCCTCATTGTTTTCTCTCTAAAGCTCTGGGTCAATTAGCAAAGCAGGACAAGACTGACTCTTACAATGGAGACCATAATTGCTTCGTAGCTCCCATTATGTAAACTGCCCAAACATCAGAAGCCGTGTGTGTGTTTGTGTGTGTGTGTATGTGTGTGTGTGTGTGTGTGTGTGCGCGCACGCGCACGTGCATGCACCCCTGGGGACTCATTTTACAATTTTGTGAGTAATGAGAGGAAGCAAACACAATAAGGCAAGAAATGAAATAATGAGGATAGAGAAATGGATCTTAGCAGGACTGCTGCTCACAGTCAACCAGTTTAATTTCACATTTCTACATTATGTTAACTTTTCATCGACATGCAAATTACAACAACAGTGACATTAAATCCGCAGCTAATGTTCTGTCACTCTACAAATAAGTGTTTGAGAAGGCATTTGTGAGGCACTTATTCTGTAGGAAAAGGCGAGCCCTTGATAAATGGGTTTATAAAAGGTAGTATCACAATTGACTAACTTTTTGGATGGAGCTGGATATTAAGAAAAGCATTTGTAAAATGTATTTGTAAAAATACTGATGTGGCTCATTGTTAACATTGACAGTTTTCTGAGGATCTGGCATTAGAAAGCGCAGATGTCCCTTGATACAACCTGAACTACTGACACTGTCAGACATGTGCTGCAGTTGCATCCTATTGGTTGTGCCGTGACTGATACTTTAATGCCATTTTCCTCCAGAATTCATTAAATGTCTGTCTTGTGTACAGGTATCTGGTTGGGATTCTGGGTCCATAAAAATAGATATCCTTATTCTGGAAACAGATAATTCAATGAACAGTGATAAGCAAATACAATCTAATTTTCCCATTAACACTTCCAACTAATATTTCCTGCATTTCACAAAATTTGACTTAAGTCTAAGTCTCTTGTGTGCTCTGTGGTTTCTCTCTATACTTAGACAAATTGAAGTTGGGACTCTTACATGGAGAAGACACTGGAAGAACCCCTCCCAACCAGACCAGAAACATTAAGATAGCCCATTTGGATTACTTTGGTGATACCATGCCAAATCTGAAAATATAAAGTCTCCAAAATTAGGTTCATTCATTTGACCAAC